ATAATCTTCAATAGTCATTATAAATGATGTATTAAATCCATATTTAAAGTGGTAATATGTATTGTGGAAAAAGATGTTTAAAAGTCTTCTACATCAGAATATGCTCAGAATTTGCCCTTCAAATTTTGAGTTTTGAAAGAATTGGCAGCAGTAATAACTTTACACATCATAAAGAAACAAGGTGATACATGTCTTTTTGGTGGTGAATAGTTTTCAGTGCTTGATAATGAAAACTATAAGAAAACCTTTCGGGATATCTCATAAAGCATCTTCCTTGAATATACACAATGTTACCATACATTTATCTGTATGTTCACACACTAGACACATAACACCATTTACTCATCAAGGTATTTAACAATGAATGTTTTCAGGAAAGACTGAACAGATTTTGTGTGTGTGGCAGTCATGACACTCTGAACTTACCCTCCAGCTTAAAGATAGTATGGTGTGGTCTGCAGTGCAGCGCTCCAATGGCATTTCCAGCACAGTTGTTCCACAGACCCTGAAGGACCCAGGTCGCTGTGATGACCGAGGACGCCCGGCTGGTGGCCCTCCATTCATTGGACACTGTGGCACCAATAGTGGCCCCCAGCCCAGCAAGGCCGCTGACAAAAGCCAGGATCTGCAAACCTGCCATGTGGCGGGTTAGAATGTGTATAACGGTCTTTTGGTAGATTTAAGAAAAAAAAAGAGAGGAAATAAAATCACCCCAGGCAGGGAAATTACACAGTGGACATGTGTTTCAGTGAGATGATTTACAGACAACATATCTTGTCTCATCTCTAGCGGTGAGGGAGAGACACAGGTCTCTGAGAGTGATTTAGTAAAGGAAGCATGAGCTGGCGGTTAGTCATTACTTTTTGGTGAGAAGTATTTGAAAGGCTTCTTTTGTGTGGCCGTGTTTTAGTGTGAAAAAGGAGACTGGGTATCACATTAACATCAAAAATAATAAAGGAGTAATGAGTAATCCTAAAAACAAGGGGCGTTGTGACAAAGTCCAGTTACTAGTTCATCTATTTCTGCATGAAATATCTGGCAACAAATGACTAATGATTGCCAGGTCATACGTGAACATATATGTTGTTTTACGTCATGTCCACTATTCTCAGCCATCGGAGTATTAGTTTCCATGGAAAAAAAGTCGGTCACTTATAATGCAGCGATAATGAATCAGCCCACTGACCAACTGAGATTAAAACATTCATGCTCTGAATATTTCAGGTAGTCAGACCACATGGAGTTAATGATGGGAGACAAAAGATGTTATCCAAACATTTCATGTACGCAATGAGCAGGGACACAGGAAGTCAGTCAGAGCTGGGGTTCCTGAGAAAAAGTGTAAATAATAACATCTTATTAAATGCAGCGGTGCAGCATTTGTGATTTCTGAATTAACTTCAATGGTCAACAACATTTTCTACCACTTATTAGAACATTTTAAACTACAACAGACAGCAAAGTTTAATGGCTTTAGGGCTATTAAAGGCTCAGTGTGTAGAATTTAGTGACATCTGGTGGTGGAGTGTCATGTTGCAGCTGAATACCCCTCATCTCTTCCTCCCTTTCCACACATATAAAATAATCTGTGGCAGGCTTCAGTTGTCATAAAAACTCAATCTAAAAATGTTACTCACAGTTCCAGTCTGTCGACTGTAGGAGGTGCTGCTGCCCCTTCAGCACCCCTACTTCCAGCACTGGAGTAGAATTATACGCGACAGTATCCAGACAGTCATATCTAATGATAGATTTTGATCCTATCATCAGCAGCCTCAGCAGAAATCTGGATTCATCAGACTGGGCTACGTTTTTTCAGTCTTCATCTGGACAGGTTTTGTGAGCCTGTGTCTGCAGCAGCCTCAGATTTCTGTTCTTGAACCTGATTGCCGCTGTAACTCGTTCACCTCAGGCTTCCATGTGTCATTCTTTCCTGCTCACCAGCACTGTAAAAACCTGGTTATCTGAGTTAGTCTTTCTGTCATCTAGAACCAAGTCCAGCCATTCTTCCTCTGATGTTGAGTAACTTGACAGACTTGCTCTTGTGTGTGTGAAAATCTCAGGAGATCAGCAGTTTCAGAAATACTCAAACATGCCATGGTCAAAGTCACTGAGCTCCTGTTTCCCCCTCATTCTCAGGGTTGATGTGAACATTAACTGCAGCTCCTGACCTGTATCTGTATGATTTCCTTCATCACACTTCTGCCACATGATTGGTTGAGTAAATGCAGAAATAAATTGGTGTACAGGCGTTTCTGATAAAGTGCTTGGTGAGTATAGAACATGTAGGCCATAGCAAGTACACAACATAACTGAAACAACACGACTCTGATTGAGTAAACGAGGCCTTGCATTACTGTTGGAATATATCCAGACAACAAATATAATATTAGGTCTGTACTGAGGTATTTATTCATTTCAGATTGAGGGAAAGTTAAAAGAAATAATTAAATTCACCTAGTATATTAATCTTCTTCACCAGATCTACATGATCTCCTTCTGATAACTAATAGGTATATTTTGTGTATATATGTACTTAGAACAGTATATAGTAACCTTAGTACATATACTATAGCCTATACTACTTTATACTTACTATTACTTATTGTTATATCCATACTAAATTCTGTTGCATATAAAGTTATGTATTATCTTAGAATTAATTATATTAATACATAAATTGTTGAATTATTTAATCCAATTGTTGTACATTATGTTTGAATATATGATTGGATGATTTTTTAAAGAATATGAATGTAAATATTTGTTTTCATTTCATTTACATTGACCAAATCAATAAGTTGAGTGTTAATCTGTCAGTTGTGTCTTGTGAAGATGAATCAAACTGTCAGAAGTTTATGAGTTTTTCTTTTTTCAAAAAAAAGTTTGATTCACACCTAACCACACCTGTGACCGCGCCCACTCCCCGTTCTGCCAATGAGATTGTGCCCTGCTCTGGACCGGTCCCGCCTTTCTAACTGTAAATACGGAAGAGTACATCTCTTGATAGCGCCCCCCTCTGGAGAGGAGGGTGTCCAACGGATCATCTGTTGCATTAACGACACCTGCAGGTTTGTCTCCGTCAGACTCTTCTCTCGTGTGAGTATGAAGACATATGAAGACATATGAAGACATATGAGGTCAGTCCTGCACACTCTCAGCTCCTCACTGTCCTCACCGGACATCCTCTGTGGATTTGTTTGATTCTCTAATGGAGGACAGCTGAACTGAAACGTTCACAGCCTGTGTTGTTTGGGCCTCACTCAGCCTGAATTAAGATGCTGAATGATTTGAAGTGGGTTTTTGCTTTTGTTGTTGTTCATCCCATGTTTGGTTGTTCATCTCTGAACTCTTGACTTGTCTGAAAGGGACATTTTCTTTGTCTCCCTGCTTTATATTGCAATGTCTTGTGTCTGCAGAGATTTGATTCAACATGAAAAGTTGATCTGTGGTTGAAGTTGATTTAACATCATAAAAATGTGTGTGTTTATTTAAAGGTTTCTCCAACAGTCACAGATTACATGTTGAAATAAGAACCGCTGAATCATTAAGGGTCATGTTTTGAAGGGTCTTTAATACTCAGTAGGCCGACAGCCTACTTTCCCTAC